GAGAGAGAGAGAGAGCCCGAGCCTCGCAGGGGCCTCTGAGCTGTCTCTTTAAAGAGGTGGTCTATAAGGAAATCCCTAACCCCTGGGATGCGCCCCCCACCATGGTTACTCACCAAAGTCATCACCATCCCTGCATATAACATACTCTGCATCGCTATTCAGTTTCTCTCTTCTCCTTCATAGGGAATCTATGTCCCAACATTTCCAATATTCTCAAATCCTTGACGCCTCTGTTCCCCTCACTCTCAGCCACAGAGAAAGCAGAAGCCTTCCGAAGTGAACAGCCTCAGTTGCCATTTCCCCAACTTTACTTGCGTCTCTCCCTTCAGCTACATAGATCAAGTGTGTTTCCTACCATCTGTAATCAATCCCTCTTTGGGACTAGATCCCATAATTGATCTAGACCTAATATCTTTAAAACCTCCTAATAATGTTATTATAGTAAATGATTAGTGTTTGAAAGGCAGGATGAGAGATACATATTGTTTGAGAATTTGGGTGTATGGTGGTAAATGGCCTACAGGTAATTTAGACAGTTTGCCTCACATGGGCTGTGTCCTTATATGCTCCCTAATTCACTATGCATGTTGCAATTTAAAAAAAAATGCCTACTCAGTAAGGAGGAACTGATATTTCATTGTTTATAATTTATAACATTTTACTGGGGCGTTAACTTTTTCCAAGGGCTTATTGACTTTCACTGACTTTTTCTCTTTCTGGCCTTGGCTCTTAGAACCCCTCTCTTCTCCTAGAACATTTTCTTAGAGTGCCACACTGGCATCAGTAAGAGGTTGAAGCATATTACAACCAAAATATTAACAATTATTCTGCCCTAATTATGTTTCAGGAGTTGTGTTTAGTCTTTTTATTCTATTATCTTATCAATATAGTAATAATGAGCATAGTTGAAATGTTTACTCTTATCAGGTTTCCCCCGTGTGCATATAATTGCCCCCATATTGGCCAATACTTGCTTTTCCAAGTTAATTTAGACTAAATCTCTGTTTTCTCATGAATGAGCAAGTCAATGCTAAAAATGGCTTTCACGCGCGAGGGTCAGCCAGCATCTGATTATTTTCTTGCCATCCTTCTTATGTCCCATCTTACTGGCCAAATTATAAATCCTCATGCGATTTCTGTGAATTTTATAGTCACTCAACAAATTGGTGTCTAAGGTTTACATAATATATATATAAAACAGACCAGGGCGCCCTGTTGTGGAATCTTAGTGCTGCCCCAGGGACTGTGCCCCCTCTGGGGAATATTGGGTATGGCGCTTTCCTAAAACCAGCAGAGGCTTATTCTGGGCCATCTGCTGGCAGGTGTAAACACAGCCCTCCAGCTCTGAGTATAACCAGCACCTTCTTTATTGGTTTGAAATACACTAGGTCTTGGGGCACCTGCGTGACTCAGTTGGTTAAGTGCCCAACTCCTGACTTTAGCTCAGGTCATGATCTCACGGTTGGTGGGGTCGAGCACTGCTTCAGGGTCTGCACTTACAGCACAGAGTCTGCTTGGGATTCTTTCTTTCAGCCCCCCCCCCCCCCGCCCTTCAAAATAAATAAGCATTTTTAAGAAATACACTGGACTCTGACTGGCTAACAGGAGAGCATATATAGAAAAGAGGCAGACTTAAACCTATGTAGATAGCATAATTTTTGCCACTTGCACACACTTGCAGAGTTAACGTTCAAGATCCGGTCACCTGGTCACCTGGGCAGGTGCCTCTTCCCCAGGGCCAGGTGTGGCCTTGGAAAAGGCCATTCTCCTTCTGACCTGGCTGTGGCTGCAGTGCCTTGCCCTGCAAATGTATTCCCAGAATTGGGGTGGAAAGGGGATTCGCAGGGCTCTCAGCTGTGAGAGTGGCTGTCCAGCCTGTAATTTTAATTACAGGGAGAAAGTGGCACAGGGTGTGTGTCTCGATTCCCGTGGTTCAATCCCAGCGCCTGTCTGAACCCCCTTCTCTGGACCCCGAGGTGGCCACAGCCCCCAAGGACCCCGGCCTCCACTGTCCCCGGCCCACAATATCCCCGGCGTGTAGCGTCCCAGACCCCAGCAGGCGGGGTCCCCAGCCCTCCTGGGTCTCAGCCCGAAGGTCCTGCCCCACCTAGCCTGCAGGGACAGCTCTCGCCTTGGAGGCAGAAGATCTGGGACCCGTCAGGAGCGCAGCCACGCCCAGCCCCACCTCAGGCTCTCAGGGCTTTGTCTCTGCTGCGTCCTTTCAAAGAGGACACGCTTCACCTAATTTATTTTTAATTTCGCAGCCTTCCCTCCTGCCATTTCAATAAAAGGCCGTGGCCAAACAGCCTTCACAGGTAATGACATTATGAGATAAAGTTGACTCGTCATTTTCCTGTAAAGTTCAGTTGTCAAATTCCATTGCAGCTCAAGTTTTTAAAATCAATTTTTTTTATGGGTTCCTAGTTGTGTTTCCCTCCTATCTGGTGGAAAACTGCCTTGCATGGAATGGAAAGTTCCAGAGAAACTTCCGCATGTGAGATGATTAAACAGCCTCAAGGGTCTGGCTGTTCCACGTGCCAGGCCTGGCACTAATCCCTGAGCCTCCGGATGGAAGAACATAAAAGTGGAAGGTGTCACTTCACACCACAGATAACTGTCACCGTTTGGAAATCGTGTGCTAGAAACCACAACGACTCGTGCTTACGGTGTTTATGACCGTATAAAACGGGGTACCTGCTAGTCCCAACCAACGTTGTTTATTCAGACCTAATACACTGAAAGATTTCGAAGATAGAAGTAATTGCATTTATGTAATCATTCTAGACATATTTTTTGGACACCTGCCTTGTGTGGATGCACATCTTTGTGCACTAGGGTGGTTTATCCTTGTGCACAGCATCACGGTTCCAGCACATTCCTGACCCCAGTGGGAACCAGCTGAGTCCTACGAGACTAATGGCCAGACCCTCCCTCAGCCCCTCCTCACGTCATGTCAAGCCCAGGCGCCCCTATCTGCCCCCATCTGCCAACTGTGTAGTCATTTCCTCTGCCAGTGGTAGTATTTCTCATATATCTGCACTCCTGATCTGCGTATCCAGACAATTCTTCCTATTCTCTTTTCCTTCTGTAATTTTGGCCCCCTCCACCGCCCCGACACTTATCCGGCCACCAGGATCATTGTGGGGCTTCCTTAACTAGACCCAGCTTCCTCCTTATTCCTCCAGCTCTCCTTGCCCACGTCTCACCCCGCTCCCCTACTTCATAGTGCAGTGTATCCAACACGCTACAGTCTACTTGATTCGCTCTGATCATCAGGTTTAATGTCCACGGATTTAGGGCCATTTAACAACATGGCGCCGGTACCTATTTCTACCTTTCTTTCCTCCCTCTTCCTTCCACCAAACCTCTGCTTCAGGCTCATTGATTAATTTGTGGCCCTTACAATACGCCAGGTGTTTTTTGTTCATTCTATTCTCTAGTCTCTCGTGCCTTTCTCCTCCTATTATTTTTTAACTTAATCTTGTTCACACTTCAAAAGTTTATCCAACTGGAACAGCCTTTATTTTCCAGCCCTCCATGGTCCTCCTCTCGGAATCTCTACATTATTGTCTGCCCCATTAATGGGCCTTTTCAGTCATGCCCCTGTGCTTCTGGAGCTTCTGTAGACCCACAGATGAGCTTTTCTGCATCACCGGGGGTCTCGGACTGTCCCGTTTCCGTCCAGGGCTGTGAAATCTAGTTTCCACTCATTATCACCACCAATTTATGCTGCGTCATTAGCTTAGCATACATTTATTAGGCATTTATGGTGGGAGAGTCACTCTGCTAAGTACTGGAGTTACATCCTGGTCCCAGGGCACTTACAATGTAGTAACCACTACTCACATAAAAATAGGCAAGTACAACTCAATGAGGAAACAATTCAGCCAGGTGCTGTGATAATAGGTTTGGGTCTGATGCATCTGCATTTAAATCTCTGCTCTATCATTTGTTATTTCTACCTCACTTAGAATCAGTGCTCAGGTCCCTCCTCTGCAAGGTGAAATTAATGATGCCTCTATTATAGGAAGGTTGTGAGGATGGATGTGATCGTCTTGTCTAGCACCTGGCAATGTGTACAAACACAACAGTTGGTCCAGATTGTTACTATAACTCAGCTCAGGCACCAAGGAAACTGTCTGGGAAGGAGGCTGGAGACACTTCTCATGTGAGGACGGAGCTATTAGGGCAACGGGGTAGGATCTGAATACTTAGTACCCTGCTTTTCTCCATTGCAATTCTGGGAAAAAATATTCTCAGTGGAAGGATTTGACGTGAAATGTAAGAAAAAAATAATGAATCAAAATTCAGTCTCTGAATATTCAATGTGCTTAGGCAGCAGTATTACAGCTTGGCAATGTTGTTTTAGAAGAGAATTTTCCAAGGCCATCTGGGTGGCTCAGTTGGTTGAGCGTCTGACTCTTGATTTTGGCTCAGGTCATGATCTCATCATGAGATCAAGCCCGGCATCAGGCTCTGCGCTGACAACGAAGAGACTGCTTTGGATTCTCTCTTTTCCTCTCTCTCTGCCCCTCCCCTGCTTGCTTGCTCTCTCTCTCTCTCTCAGTCCCTCCTCCACTTGCACTCTGTCTGTGTCTCAAAATAAATAAACTTTAAAAAAAGGAAGGGAATTTGCCATATTTCTGTGAAACTCCCCTTAGAAACAAAGGAGTAAACTTGGATAATCTAATCTATGGAACTTCCTTCTCATTTGAAAATATACTCCTCCTCCCACTTATGAGAGTGGAAGCCAAAGAGAAGTCTATGGTTGTCTGGCCAAGGAGTTGTAGAAAGGAGAGGGACAGAAGGGGGTATCAGTTCTGTTTCTCCCACACCTGGAAAGGCCAGGCAAGGAAGCACCTCCTCCAGTACTACATAATATGTCAGTCAAATATCTTGAGCCCTAGATCCTGGACTAGAGAGATGGGGAGGGACAGCCCTCAGAGAGACTGAGCACTTTCTGTCTGAACTCATTAACGAACTAATTAAGTTGTTGATAAGTGCTCCCTTCGGCAGCACATATACTAAAATTGGAACGATACAGAGAAGATTAGCATGGTCCCTGTGCAAGGATGGCATGCAAATTCATGAAGCATTTCATATTTATACAATGGAATACTACATGGCAATGAGAAAGAATGAAATCTGGCCACTTGCAACAACATGTTTGGAACAGGAGGGTATTATGCTAAGTGAAATCAGTCAGTCAGAGGAAGACAGATCCCATATGTTTTCACTCGTATGTGGATCTTGAGAAACTTGACATAAGACCATGGGGGAGGGGAAGGGGGAAAAGTTACAAACAGAGAGAAAGGGAGGCAAACCACAAAGGACTCTTAAATACAGAGAACAAACTGAGGACTGATGGGGGTGGGGGAGAGGGGAAGGAGGTGATGAGCATTGAGGATGGCACTTGTTGGAATGAGCAATGGGTGTTGTATGGAAACCAATTTGACAATAAAGTATATTAAAAATAGAAAAAAAAAGTTGTTGATAAGATGAAGATCTAAGCATTTTAGTCACAGATTAAGCCTTTTGGGAGTGAGGCTCAGTAGGACCACAAAGTAAACTATGGACAAAGAAAAATTAACATTTTTTGGCACACATTTTTTCTTACTGAAATTTGTACCATCACTTTATGGCCAGAGACAGAAGTGAACAATACCATGTTGCATAGGGGAAAACCACCAAAGGCAGTGGTCAGGAGTGAGGCTGGTTATGTCATCTCCCACAGTCAAGTCCAACGTGTAAATCCTCAAGCAGTGACAAGAAGAAATTTACTGAGAATATGTGCATTGGGCACCCAAATGCTGTGCTGAGTTGTATTTATTTTTATTTTATAACTTCTGCTGGCAACCCTAAAGTAAGAAAATAACCTCCCCTGTCATCTTATCATGATTTGTCTCTTGTCTAATATTTTGCTTGATATTTTGTTTCTAACCTGATATCTTTGAAAGCCAAGAGCACTGATACACCATTTGGGGAGAACACAAGTTATAGGAAGGAAAGAGATAATTGTTCCCAGAGTTGGAGCCCTACCTCACACCATACATAAAACGAATCAAAGACCTGCATGGAAAATCTGAAACTATAAAGCTCCTAGCAAAAGTATAGGAGTAAATATTTGTGACCTTACACCAGGCACTCTTAGATATTACATCAAACCCACAAGAAATAGAAGGGAAAAAATAGCAAAGTTAGACTTCCTCAAATTAAAAACTTTGTGCTACAATGATACATACCATTAAGAAAATGAACAAATAATACAAAGAAGGGGATAAAATATTTGCAAAACATAGATCTATCTAATAAGGACTTGCACCCTGAATATATAAAGAGTTCTTATAACTCAATAAGAGGCAAATGACTCATGCATAAATAGGCAAATGATCGATGTAGTTATTTCTTTGAGGAAGATATACAAATGGCCAATAAGCACATGAAAAAATACTCGATGTTATTAGTCATCAGGAAAGTGTGACCTAAATCACAATTGAGTATTATATCACCCCCACTCAGATGCAACAACACAAAACAAAACAACACAGACAATACCACGTATTGATGAGGATGTGGGAAAACCTGGGACCCCCATACAGGGCTAGTGGAAATGTGCAATATTGAAGCTACTTGGGGATATAGTCTGGAAGTTCCTCTAAAACATAAACAGAGTTGCCATATGACCCAAAGTTTCACTTGTAAATACATACCCTAGAGACGTGAAATATATGTTCACACAAAAATTTGTACATGTAAGTTAACAGCGGGATTATTTAAAAGTGGCAAAAAGTAGAAGAAACCCAAAGACCATCAAGTGCTAGGTGTAAACATTAAATGTGGTATATTCATAGAAAAGAATACCTTTCTGCAATAAGAAGAAATGAAGTCCTTGTACCTTCCAGGATGGATAAACTTTGAAAATATGCTAAGTGAAAAGCCCCATAAGGCATAAGACACACTGCTCACTCAATAATTTTCATGCCTGTAGCATGATGACCATTTCATCCATAATCGATGATCAAAGGCATTATTGGTTTAGTTTTTACTTAACTGTGAGAACAAGGCACCACAGGAGACAAGATGAAGACTATATTTGAATGCAGAATGTTCAGCTAGAAATGAAGAGGCAACGAGAGAGAGTCAAATTTTTCTCAGGCAATTGATCCTTTCTTAATTTAATTTTAAAAAATGCCTGCAGCTATTTTTATTTCTTATTATTCTGAATTTGAAAAGTTCTCTTCCTCTAAATTTATCTTTGTGGGTAAAACCTATAATTACTGGTTTTAATCCAAAAGCAATTGGGTCATACATTTTCATGAGCATCAAAGCAGAGTAAAATGACCACATTACAAAAATTTCCAACAGACAGGCACAAGCTATCTTTTCTAAACTTTAGATAGGAAGAAAAGGAACTTTGTACAGGCCTAAATGTTCATATTTCCATGGACACTCGTCCACAAAACCTACTTATCTAAATCAAATTGAATGATAGGCATGAAAAGTATTCTTAATAAGCAGGCACAGAGTGAATTGAATTATCTATTCTGGATTTCCCATGAATATTTCTTATGGTATGTGGTCAAGTCACCTTAATAGAGGTTAATAAAAAATTAAAGGGCTGGCCTCTCAAGCGTGAATCAGAGTAAGACTCAGGTGCACCAAGAAAATAATTCTGGGCTTCTCTGGACACAGCATCTCCAAAGAAAAGCTACTGGATTCTCAAGAGTGCACTCGTGCGATGTATGTTCTATATTCGGCTTTCTCTGGCGTGAGCCCTTGAAAAGACCCCAGCCATTCCATCAACCTAGTTTCTCAGGTCCCCACTTTGAAAAGTGGGCACGGGGCGCCTGGGTGGCTCAATTGGTTAAGTGTCAGATTTCAGCTCAGGTCATGATCTCATGGTTTGTGGGTTCAAGCCCCGTGTCGGGCTCTGTGCTGACTGCCAGCTCAAAGACTAGAGCCTGTTTCAGATTCTGTGACTCCCTCTCTCTCTGACCCTCCCCTGCTCACACTGTCTCTCTCTCTCTGAGAAATAAATAAAAACCATTAAAAAAAATTGGACAGTGGGCATGACTCCCCCAAGAGAATGTTCTCCAGCCCCTGGGACTGTCAGCATACATTACCGTGTCTTCAGATGGGCCACCCTTAGAAGGAGAAAAAGTGCCTGTCATTGGCCTCCTTAAAATACCTGAAAATTAACCCCTTTTTGGACTCATTGTATAATTACAGTTCTCCCAAATCTACCAAATTTTCCCCAAATGGCAAATCCATAAATTCAGTTTCTTTGTACTTCATCATCACAAATAGTATTTTTAAAAATCTTTCTTTCAAAACCTCAATAGTGTTTTCTCTAGTTTTCTGCAATCTAGCGATCATAATAAGTAGTTACTCCATGTTACACTCTTACACATTTTATTGGATCTGAATCACCCATCCCAATGACCTTGAAATGGCTTCCTTTCTCTCATTTATTTCTCTCACATTTACCAGGTCTCAAGTTGCCTTCACCTTCTCGATTCTTAACTCTGAAAAGCCTGAATGGGAACCGTATTATGGCAGTTAATGTGTCAACTTGGCTGGGTCCTGGTGCCCAGATTTTTGGTGCAACAATATTGTGGATGTTTCTGTGAAGGTTTTTTGGTTTTTGGGGGATTTTTTTTGGATGATATTAACATTTGAATCAGAAGAGTTTGAATAGAGTAGGGTATTTTCCATGAAATGGTGGGCTTTGTCCAATCAGTTGAAGAATTTAATAGAACAAAGACCGACTTTTCCAGCCAAAAAGGAATTCTATCATTATAAGGCCTTTGGAATTGACCTGAAACTTTTTTCGGAGTCTCCAATGTGCAGGCTTGCCAAATATATTTTGGACTCTCCATAACGGAGTGAACTAATTATTAAAATAAATCTATCTATCTATCTATCTATCTATCTATCTATCCATCTACCTACCTACCTATCTACCTACCTACCTATCTACCCATCCTGTTTCTCTGGGAAATCCTGATGAATACACATATATACTGTGTTTTCCTCCCTCTTTATCCTGTCTCTACCTCCTTCAACTGAGCTCCTTACTGCCTCAGTTTCCCTCTGAGCCCAGGAAATGCCATTGCCCTGGGAGCCTGCAGAGACCTATCCTGCCCAGGAACCTGCTTCTCTTGGCTGTTTCTCATCACAGCTGCCCATCTCCAGCTTGTCTCCGTCTCCTGTACTTCCCTCTCCACTTCTGCCCCCTGGAATCTATGTTCTTTATCTATCCCATTCCCCAGGACTTGTCACTGGTTTGGGACACATGTTCAATTTGTTCCAGTTGGTACCAAATTAGGTCCACTTTAGATCAGCCCAGGTATGTATTTGTTGTGAGTTCTTTGAACTTGCTTGGGTCCTGCTTGCTTGGGGGTCAGTACCTAAGTCACTCATTGGATCTTCATATTTTCCCCCATGACATTGTTCCCAAATAGTCATGCCATATAAATGGTTCCCCTACCTGTTTCTGCAGTTTGTCCTTGGCCGTGGGCTAGAAGGGCTCTATGCTCCTCTGTTTCTACATGGAAAGCATATAAAATAGTACTTCCATGCTCTGCTTTGGAGCGGGCCATATTTTACACGCTTCCCAGCCAAACCCCACTATGATCCCGGAACTGTTCATTCTTCCCTGCTGAGCCTTTTCTGCGGCCATTATCTTGTCACTGGAGCGGGAGAGGATTCCGGGCATAGATGTGGAATCCCCACTAACATTTCCCCCAACGTTTTGGATCCTAATTATCCTCAGAAGCCTCCCACTTAATGTTGGTTTCTTTGCAGACACACAGATCTCAGTTCAGATACCTTGATCCCAGGAATAAGATTCACGGTAATTATGTTCTTTGGGATTAATTAATCAAACTGATAGTTCTTGGAAGCTGGCCTCATGTTTGTCTACAAACTCCCCAGCCCACCTCTTCCCCGGGTAGGGTTTTCCTGCTGCTTCTCAGCCCCTCCTATTTCCTGCACATTTGAGAGAGAATCCAATGCACAAAGGGCAGGGTCTACTTTCTTCTCTGTTTGCGCCCCCTGTTCCATGTTTACACTTCTGCTCCGGTGTCTACACTTCTTCCTGGCACCCTCACCGTTCACTGCTCCAGTTAGCGTAGCCAGACTGTGATCACTGCTGGGGAGAGGGTCTCTCACTGTGGCTCCAAATATCACAGTCGGCTCTCTATGTCGTCACTATCTCTGCAGAACCTCCCAGCAGCCTCCGCGGCACACAATCCCGGCCAGCTGGGCAGCCCAAGGGACCCAAGCAACAGTATCTGGAGGATATTTCAAACAGAAGATGCTGAAACATGATTCCGAGTTGGGGAGGGGGGTTCTTTCTCTGAGAGAGAGGCTGTTGTCCTGGGGGGAGGGGGGCCACAGTGGGCTGGGACTGACCAGTAACAGCTCAGCACTGTTTGCTCAATATTGAAGAAGTGGGCAAGCCAGCTGTGACGTCATTGGTAGCTTGAAATCATCCACGCGGGAAGTGTTTACACCATGGAGATTGGCAAACTCACAAATCCGTTTGTTTGCTATTTTGTTGCTGTTGTTTTTCTTGAGGGGCAGTTTGCCAGTGTGTGAGGGTTATGCTGGTCCCACAAAAGTGATGGAATGTCCTTGGGGTGTGCGTGCCTCTGTGTGTGTGTGTGTGTGTGTGTGTGTGTGTGTGTGTGTGTGTGTGAAAGAGAGAGAGAGAGAGAGAGAAGGACCTCAGGTTTTTAGGACACAAAGCACTCTCCTCGTTTACTGTGAATAAGGGCTGCTCCCTCTTCCTGATCGCCCCCCTCCCTTCACCTGGGCAACATCTTCTCCTGTTTCAGGCAGCTCAGCGGTCACCAACCTCGGGTCCTGTCCACTCGAGCCTTAGATGGGGTCATCAGCTGCAGCGCCCATCCCCCCACCCTGCCGTCATCACATGGTCTGAGAGCCTGTTTATTGGTGTATCTGCCTTAGCGGAGTGACCGTGAGCACTCTGAAGGCAGAACCCCCATCTTATTTGCCTTCAAAAATGCACAGCCTTACTCTGTGTCTGCACATCACAGACCCTCATTAAATGTTTCATCCAAAGCAGGACACCTGCGGGGCTCAGTCGATTGAGCATCTGACTTTTGGTTTTGGCTCAGGTCATGATCTCAAGGTTAGCGGGTTCGAGCCCCATGCCAGGCTCTGTGCTGACAGTGTGGAGCCTGCTTGGGATTCTCTCTCTCCCCCCATCTCTCTCTGCCCCCTACCTCTCTCAAAAACAAAAAATAAACTTTTAAAAAAAGTTTCATCGATGAGGAAACATATGAAAAACAAGAAGAGAAAAAAGGTGGGAGCGAAGGAGCCCTTCATGCTGGGAAACAAGGAAAGACTGAGGGAACCCCAGGGGCACTGGAGAACGGCAACGAGTCTAATGGAATGTGAGCAACGGCCACTTCGTCAGGAAAGAGGAGGACAGCCACCGCGCAGACTGGAAGAACCCAGCCCCTCTCTGCAACCAGAGAGGGACAGACTCACACAGTTTCAGGCTCCTTGCATGAGAAGGAATTGTGGGCCAAGTAGGTTCATCTCAATGGGCCTTCAGTTACGTTTATATCAGTTATACAGGTTTAATTTCAGTGAGTCTGCCACTTTAATATTCTTTTTTTTTTTTTTTCTAGGAGAGAGAGAGAGAGACAGCGTGAGCAGGGGAGGGTCAGAGAGAGGGAGACACAGACTCTGAAACAGGCTCCAGGCTCTGAGCTGGCAGTCAGCACAGAGCCCGACGCGGGTCCCGAACCCACGAACTGCGAGATCATGACCTAAGCGAAAGTCGGAAGCTTAACCGACTAAGCCACCCAGGCGCCCCCACTTTAATATTCTTAACGTCTGCAAACAAAAGGTTTCATCCAGTCCCATTTTGTTACAGTGTAACTGGTTGCAGATTGATGGAAACTTTTCAACTCTCGACAACCTGTTCATAGGTATTGGCCACATGGTATTGGGCAGGTCCACCTGTGCCATTACTTGTAGCATGCGTGCGCGACGGCCGGGCTGGGCGTGGGGCTAGAGTGATAGTGTATCTGTGTAACTCTCTTCCCCCCAGAAGTTTCCTAGTTTTGCCTACGACTGCATCCTTCTTGATCAACACCTGTTGCTTTCTCCGTACACCTGCTGCACTGGGATTCATTCCCCCTACAGGCTCTTACCTTTCAACAGCCTGCTCCCATCAACCACCCACATACTCAGACTGGCTTGCTGATAGCGGGTACTCATCTGATTAATGCAAATTCTAGAAAAATTGGCATAACTATTTCCATTTAATAGATGATGGAGGGAGAGACTGAGGGAAAGACTTTACCTCAACACCTACAGCTAATCAGTGACAAAACTGTACATGTTACCTCAATCCTTCTACTCTGCCACCCATTTGTCACCAGGTGCACTGCAGGTCTCTCCATCCAGGCCACTGAACTCTAACTTCGCAGGATCAAGACCATCTCTGGACGCTGAGTGGATGGTAAGAGAATCACTATGTCTTCAAGGTCAATGATGCAAAACCCATATGCCTGCATTGCTCAAAACCAGCCTTTGAGATAAATTAATTACAATTGTCTCTGTTTTTATGGTATATAGAATGACCAGTGACCATAAAAAGATTTTGTGGGAATATTTTTAAAAATCAGATATATCAGTATTTGTTCTCCATCTTATGAAGGATTTTCTGTGGCTTCCTTCTGGCTCCTAGAGCTGTCTTTAACTGGATTGCATATTTGGAGCTCAATTATTGTTGAGCAATGAATTAAACTGATTATGATTTTTAATAACTGCATTTGGACAAAAATCAGTTTGTAATCCACTGACTACAGACATGTACAAATGAACGGGATCCAACCAGAACCAGCCTAAGGTGCACCAGTGACTGACGCCCATCTGTTTTTTGAGATTGTATATTTTCTGCAAAGACGGAGGGATTTGGAGGCAGAATTTATGGTTAAAAGTAAAAATGTACATTAATGCATAGATTTGGGGATGGGAGATCTAAATCTTCTAAGCAGACGGTAAACTCAAATAGCCACACACATACAGCCATATGTACATAATTTCCAGCGCACAGCCTCCGCGCCCACCCCTACATGCACACACAACCTCTCAGTTTGATGCTTACACACGTATTCACATGCATAAACCCCATGCTCTTACATTGAGAAGGAACACTAAATTAAAGTTATTATGAAAAACTAAAAAGAATACTAATAGTCATCCTCAAATATGATAATACCAACACAGGCTAAAACTGAGTTCAGTGGGACCTCTCTGCTTGGCTTTAATGCTGATGGACATGAACTCGGCAGGCCCAAGTTCATCTGGGAAGCTCTCACATTTATCTATCAGCCTTTTTGAAGACAAAACATAAATATGCCCTTCCCTTCTGGTCCTTTTACCACAAATCTACATTTCACATTAGAAAATAATCCAACTTAATGGCTTCTCATGGGAGACATCTCCAGATTTATGCATTTATTGATAGAGTAGGTCAAATGGAAATTTAATCTAATATATATTTAAGTGGAAAGAATAAGAACAGACACATTCATTATTTCTATTTATCTCCAAACCAACTAAGCTGATGTTATTTTGAGATCTCTACAATGAAGGTTTTTAAAAGTATGAGTACAAAGGAAAATGGGGCTTGCATCATAATTTAATGTTCCTGCTAATGTGTTCCTTGATGCTAATCTACTATAAATTCATTGCAATTAAGTGGTGGAATTATTTAATGCGATTTTGCCTGTCTGAATCCATTATCATTTGTCCACACGAAGCTGTCTGGCAAATAACAAGAATGTATATCACTGACGGGCAAATAGATTTTCCTTTCTCAGCAAAGTGTAATATGTAATTTAAATTCATTATCTGGGAATGTAAGCTCACATGAAATATATAGAAAATAATCTTCCAGGTCAGAAGCAGCTGAATTTTCACTCTCAAAATATGTCAAACCTCTACCACATGACACTTTCTTTATCTTGAAAAGCAGAAGAAAGGTGATATTTTTTGTCAGATTCACCGCCTTGTATTGATGAGACCCTAGTATGTTGTCCTCAATCTGTCCACAGACCTCTAGCATAAAACCAATAGAGCAGACCATGCTGCTCCCTCCTTCTATCACCCAGGACCGGACTTTGGGTCCCTTTCTCCTACCTCTCTATTTTGTATTGCCACCAACATATCAGAGACCATTAAACCCCAATGCCTTACCAGCTACTAAAAGCAGGTAGGTCAGCTTTCCAGCACACCCGACTTCCATTCAGGCTACCTCCCCTCAGTTCTAGAAGCTCATGTGGAAAGAGACTTTTACAAAAGCTGTCCACTGTGCTATTTACCAGAAAAGACCATCAAGGCCAAGAACTGGTAAAGGACTTGCTCATGTGTGGAAACACAGCAGTGTTGAATATTTAGCATAAATTTCTTTCTCCGGCCTCCTCTTTATGGCTTAACTGACCAGCACATTCTTCCTGTCCTTCACCATTGTCTCTGCTAAATAGATAAGCAGGGCAGACCTCTCCACCTGAGGGCGGCCTACTTTGGAGAAGACCTCTGTGACCTCAGAGCACTGTGACCAGCAGCACAGGGGCCCTCTCGGCAGCCAGGGCTTGGGGATGACCTTTCCCATGATGCCCCAGACTCAGCTCACTCTGTCGTCGTCCCACCTGGAGCCGTCCCCAAGTTTCATGTCCTTGTCTATCTGTCACCGTCCCCAGCGGCACTTCAAAGGGAAGCCCACACGAGCGTCTTGCTGAGGCCCCTGCTCACAGGTGCAGACCCACCTCCTTCTTTTGCAAACCAAGTCTCCTCAAAGGAACGCATTCAAAACTCTTGACAGCTAAACAAAATGAGGGAAACAGGCACAACAGGCTCTCATCGCATTTCTTCATTCAGAGAATAATTATTGAGCAATGGCTGTATGCCGGGACTGAAACAGGCTTCTGGGGATGGACACGGGGTGAACGGGGCAGACACAGTCAGGCGTCCCAGTGGCATGGAGGCAGCGGATGGCAAACCAGTCAGCAAATAACAAACAATATAACTGCAGGAGTTGTATGTTTCTGAAGGAAAGAGTCAAGGTGAGGGAAGAAAGACTGACAGAGAAGGCCCCTGCTTCAG